CAGAGAAGTCCTGTCTAATTAAACATGAGAGGAGCAAAACACGCCTGGAGCAACACGGAGTACATCAATACCTGGACTTTAACCCGAAGTCACAAAAACAGTTTGGATTTCAAAATCAGGTCACTCCCCTGGACGTTTTAGAATGAAATCCTTGAGGTGTCGATGTTGACATAGGGATCAGTTCTCCTTCCAAAGGGAACAGCAAAAATTGAGATCACAGCACCCAAACAAGGGTCCTTAGAGGCCCCACAGGGAGCTACTGGCTATGTCCCAGAAGCCTCGAGAAGAAAAGAGGCAGAGAGCTACAAGAACCTAGAAACTCAGGGGTGGCCAGGATGTCCGTGGCACACCCCTGAAGGGCAGAGAAAAGAGAACAGCTAAGATTTGCTTACAGTTTGAGGAAACAACCCAAGAAAAGTAAGGAAAGGAAAAGCAGACCAACTCAAGAGGCAACAGAAAATTCTGGGGCAGAAGGAGAGGAAAAGAATTGTCAATTGCTACAACAAAAGCACCTTAGGAAAAAAAGCTGGGCCAGGCACAGTGGCTCAAGCCTGTAATCCCAGCACTTTGGAAGGCAAAGGCGGGCAGATCACCTGAGGTCAGGAGTTCAAGACCAGCTTGACCAACATGGAGAAACTCCGTCTTTATTAAAAATACAAAATTAGTTGGGTGTGGTGGTGTATGCCTGTAATCCCAGCTACTCCGGAGACTGAGGCAGGAGAATCGCTTGACCCTGGGAGGCAGACGTTGTGGTGAGCCGAGATCTCACCATTGCACTCTAGCCTGGGCAACAAGAGCGAAACTCTGTCTCAAAAAAAAAAACAAGCGCTGGGATTACTGGGATTACAGGCGTGAGTCACCGCACCTGGCTAGGTTATTCCTTTATTATTTATTTCTTCTTTTTTTTTTTTTTTTTTTTGAGACAGAGTCTAGCTCTGTCACCAGGCTGGAGTACAGTGGCACCATCTCAGCTCACTGCAACCTTCGCCTCCCCAGGTAAAGCAATTCTCCTGCCTCAACCTTTCCAGTTGCCGGGACTACAGAGGTGTACCACCACACTCAGCTAATTTTTGTATTTTTAGTAGAGACAGGGTTTCACCATGTTGGTCAGGATGGTCTCGATCTCTTGACATCATGATCTGCCCACCTTGGCCTCCCAAAGTGCTGGGATTACAGGTGTGAGCCACTGCACCCAGTCTTTTTTCTTTTCTTTCTTTCTTTTTCTTTTTTTTTTTTTTTTTTTTTTTTTTGAGACAGAGTCTCATTCTGTTACCCAGGCTGGAGTGCAGTGGCACGATCTTGGCTCACTACAACTTCTGACTCCTGGGTTCAAGTGATTCTCCTGCCTCAGCCTCCCGAGTAGCTGGAACTACAGGTGTGTGCCAACACATCCAGGTAATTTTTGTATTTTTAGTAGAGATGAGGTTTCACCATGTTGGTCAGGCTGGTCTTGAACCCCTGACCCCAGGTGATCCACCTGCCTCGGCCTCCCAAAGTGTTGGGATTACAGGCATTAGCCCCTGCACTGGCCTTTTCTTTTCTTTTGTTTTCTTTTTTTTTTTAAATATAACAGAGACGGGGGTCTCACTATGTAGCCCAGGATGGTCTCCAACTCCTGGACTCAAGCAATCCAACTTACCTCACCCTCCCAAAGTGCCAGGATTCCAGGTTTAAACCATTGCACCTGGCCTAGGTTATTTTTATTTTTATTTTTATTTTTGAGATGGAGTCTCGATCTTTCCCCCAGTCTGGAATGCAGTGGCACAATCTTGGATCACTGCAACCTCTACCTCCCAGATTCAAGCAATTTGCTGCCTCAGCCTCCCGAGTAGCTGGGATTACAGGCGCCCACGACCATTCCCAGCTAATTTTTTGTTTGCATTTTTAGTAGAGATGGGGTTTTACCATCTTAGCCAGGCTGGTCTTGAACTCCTGACCTCTTGATCCATCCGCCTCGGCCTTCCAAAGTGCTGGGATTACAGGCATGAGCCACCACGCCCAGCCCAGTTATTCTTAATAATTCTCTTTGGCCACTTGTTTTAGAGTAACACATCTCACCACCTGAAGCATTTCTTTATGGCTAACTGTGGTGCCTAGTGCAGCAGCTTTGCATGTAGACTGCGAGGCTTGGAAGAAAGGGCGCCCATACATACCCCTGCTTCCCCATGCTGGTTGGCACATGACATGAACTTACTAAGGCTTTTTATTTATTTATTTTAGCTAAATGAAGAAACCTTGTTTTGAGAAGTAATCTATGTCCTGTGAACAGTCCTTCTTTCCCCAGATTCTTTCATCTCATTTCCCAACTTTTGCAGTTGCTGGGGTTTTTTTTGTTGTTGTTGTTATTGTTGTTGTTGTTTTTTGAGACGGAGTTTTCGCTCTTGTTACCCAGGCTGGAGTGCAATGGCGCGATCTCGGCTCACCGCAACCTCCGCCTCCTGGGTTCAGGCAATTCTCCTGCCTCAGCCTCCTAAGTAGCTGGGATTATAGGCAAGCACCACCATGCCCAGCTAATTTTTTGTATTTTTAGTAGAGACGGGGTTTCACCATGTTGACCAGGTTGGTCTCGATCTCTCAACCTCGTGATCCACCCGCCTCGGCCTCCCAAAGTGCTGGGATTACAGGCTTGAGCCACCGCTCCCGGCCTGTTGTTGTTGTTTTAATAGAGACAGGGTTTCACCATGTTGGCCAGACTGAGACTGGTCTCGAACTTCTGACTTCAGGTGATCCGCCCGCCTTGGCCTCCCAAAGTGCTGGGATTACAGGCATGAGCCACCGCGCCCAGCCAATGCAGTTTGCTGTTACCCTACCTCTTTCCTCTATAGCACAGTGGACCGCCCAGGGCTGAATATGAGGCTGCTTCCACAATCATTTGCCCTGCTGTGGAACAGGCTCTGGGGTCCGGAAATGACTCCAGCGACCATTGCATTTCCTGTGGTCCAGGGCTTCAAGTCTTCTTCACATCCAGTTTCCTGCTTCTAGCATGATCTCCTTGCAACTTCATGGCAGAAGTGGCAGGAGGTGGGAGAAGCCTTCTTAGCCTGCCTAAGGGATGGAGGAGAATTTCCTCCTTAGAGCAACTGGCAAGCTCCTGAAACCACGAGGTTGCAAAACGCACTTGGGGCTGGAGGATGGGCAGCAAGGGGGTGTCAGACAGACCCTATGGGTCAACAACAGGATTGGGGGCTGCTCAAGGTGGCTCATGCCTGTAATCCCAACACTTTGGGAGGTAAAGGTGGGAGGATCACTTGAGCCCAGGAATTCAAGACCAGCCTGGGCAATATAGCGAGCCCTCCATCTCTACAAAAAAAAAAAAAAGGAAGAAAGAAAGAAAGAAAAATCAACTAAGCGTGGTGACACATGCCTGTGGTCCCAGCTAATTGCTTTGTCTCCCAGGCTAGAGTGCAGTAGTTCGATCGTGGCTCACTGCAACCTCCGCCTCCCGGGTTCAAGCAATTCTGCCACCTCAGCCTCCTGAGTAGCTGGGATTACAGGCATGTGCCACCACACCTGGCTAATTTTTTGTATTTTTAGTAGCGACGAGATTTCACCATGTTGGCCATGTTGGTCTTGAACTCCTGACCTGAAGTGATCCACCTGCCTCGGCCTCCCAAAGTGCTGGGATTGCAGGTGTGAGCCACTGCGCCTGGCCCCTGAGAAGATCCTTAACCCCTTTGGTCACCAACTATGATCCTGGAGCTGGGCTAAGAACTTTGGCAGGTTGTCTCATTGAACTTAACAATAACCATGGGTATTAACCACATTTATAGATGAACAATCAGGCTCGGAGCAGTTCAGTAGCTAGCCCAAGGTCACATTAAGTGAAGAACCAGGATCCTAAACCTAAAGCTATGTGACTGTAGGTAAGAGTCACAGCCTGATTCCTGACCGACTGTTTGCTCAGTGACCTTTTGCTTTCTCCTTCTGGCTTATGCTCACCATGTGCCCAACTGACCATCCACTTACTGCATGAGTTCCCTTTCCTGAAACTCAAAGAGCCGGTCAAGGTTTGCTCTGTGACACTGGAGTTGGAATGGGCTCACAGATTCGCTTTTGCTTGTTTTTTTTTTTTTTTTTTTTTGAGAAGGAGTGTCTTGCTCTGCCAACCAGGCTGGCATGCAGTGGCTCAGTCTCGGCTCACTGCAACCTCCAACTCCCAGATTCAAGCAATTCTCCTGCCTCTCAGCCACCCAAGTAGCTGGGACTAGAGGCGCATGTTGGCACGCCTGGCTAATTTTTTTGTATTTTTAGTAGAGATGGGGTTTCACCTTGTTAGCCAGGATGGTCTTGATCTCCTGACCTCAAGATCCACCTGCCTCAGCCTCCCAAAGTGCTGGGATTACAGGTGTGAGCCACCGTGCCCAGCTTTTTTTTTTTTTTTTTTAATGGCTAGCCTTTGCTTTTTGCAGACACTACTGCAAAGCCACAAGGAGCCTGCTGTAGAAAGACTTCTGTCTCAGATACATCGTTTCATCCTACCTATCCTACTGCTTTCTAACAGTGTGACCTTGAGGAGTTACTTATCTGAGCTTCAACTTCCTCATCTGGAAAATAGGAATAACAGGCTAGCTAAATGGGTTGAAAGAAAAATGTATGGAACAATGCTCAGCACAGTTCCTGACTTGATAAATATGAGCTCTCTTTCCTCTCCATATTCTGGAGGGGATCTGAGCCTCAGGGAAAATCCTGCTGACCTTAAGTTTCTGATAGGACCGTGGGGGAGGGACTCAGCCCAGAGCTTCCCGATCCCCTGGGGTCTCCTCTTCACATGCACCTGCCTGTGTTTCAGCTCCCTCCCCCCATGTCCATTCTTCTGGTGGGGCTACGGGGCGGGTGCGGCGATGGACCGGGCGGGCACAGAACAGGTGGGTGCAGGCTGGGTGTCCGGCGCTGGGACACAAGTGCTCTGTGTGTAGGGTGGGCGGAAGTCAGGGCGTTTGATCTGAATTCTAAAGGGCGTTGTTCAGAGCCCCACAAAGGTCTCATTGTGCAGACACTGGGTATAAAGCAGCATATGACTCCCCAGCACCGGGCGGTGATGAATTGGGACGCAGGCGCAGAGCCCAGGGACCACTCCCCCTGCACAGACATGAGACCATAGGGGACCTGTCTGGGTGGCCTCAGGGATAGGCGCTCCCCAAGGTAAGAGGGCTTTGTTGAGTTTGCCCCAGGTCTGGAGTTAAGGAGCTAGGGGACAGCCATAGGGGATAGCTGAGATCGGAACAAGATGGGCTTGGCAAAGAAAGGGGCTGGCGAGGAAAGAATGTTGGATGAAAGCAAAGAAGGAGGATGGGGCTCAGGGAGGTCAAGTCAAGTGAGTGAGGAGGAGGAGAGGCTGGCAAGGGAGATGGTGTGATGAGAAAATAATGACCATCCTTCCTTTCCTGCAACTGGCTCTTGGAAGAGTTGGGGGGCAGGCAGTGCGATGGTGCCCGGCTTTCCACCCCAGCTTTCTGAACAGCTTGCTTCATGGCTGGTGTTTTGCAGGTGTGAATGAGGCAGGATGAACTGGACAGGTTTATACACCTTGCTCAGTGGCGTGAACCGGCATTCTACTGCCATTGGCCGAGTATGGCTCTCCGTCATCTTCATCTTCAGAATCATGGTGCTGGTGGTGGCTGCAGAGAGTGTGTGGGGTGATGAGAAGTCTTCCTTCATCTGCAACACCCTCCAGCCTGGTTGCAACAGCGTCTGCTATGACCAGTTCTTCCCCATCTCCCACGTGCGGCTGTGGTCCCTGCAGCTCATCCTAGTTTCTACCCCAGCTCTCCTCGTGGCCATGCACGTGGCTCACCAGCAACATATAGAGAAGAAAATGCTGCGACTTGAGGGCCATGGGGACCCCCTACACCTGGAAGAGGTGAAGAGGCACAAGGTCCACATCTCAGGGACACTGTGGTGGACCTATGTCATCAGCGTGGTGTTCCGGCTGCTGTTCGAGGCCGTCTTCATGTATGTCTTTTATCTGCTCTACCCTGGCTATGCCATGGTTCGGCTGGTCAAGTGTGACGTCTACCCATGCCCCAACACAGTGGACTGCTTCGTGTCCCGCCCCACCGAGAAAACCGTCTTCACCGTCTTCATGCTAGCCGCCTCCGGCATCTGCATCATCCTCAATGTGGCCGAGGTGGTGTACCTCATCATCCGGGCCTGTGCCCGCCGAGCCCAGCGCCGCTCCAATCCGCCCTCCCGCAAGGGCTCGGGCTTCGGCCACCGCCTCTCACCTGAATACAAGCAGAATGAGATCAACAAGCTGCTGAGTGAGCAGGATGGTTCCCTGAAAGACATACTGCGGCGCAGCCCTGGCACCGGGGCCGGGCTGGCTGAGAAGAGCGACCGCTGCTCGGCCTGCTGATGCCACATACCAGGCAACCTCCCATCCTGCCCCCGCCCCTACCCTAGGCGAGCCCCTCCTTCTCCCCTGCCGGTGCACAGGCCTCTGCCTGCCGGGGATTACTCGATCAAAACCTTCCTTCCCTGGCTACTTCCCTTCCTCCCAGAGCCTTTCATTTGAGGAGCTGGAGGGCTGGGGAGCTGGAGGCCACCTATGCCAGTGCTCAAGGTTACTGGGGGTGTGGGCTGCCCTTGTTACCTGCACCCTTCCCTCTCCCTCTCCCTGGGATCACTGGGGACCAGAGATGGGATGCTCCGACAGCGTCTCCAATTATGAAACTAATCTTAACCCTGTGCTGTCAGATACCCTGTTTCTGGAGTCACATCAGTGGGGAGGGATGTGGGCAAGCAGAGTGGAGGGCGGGGGTGCTGTGGACATGTGGGTGGAGAAGGGAGGGTGGCGAGCACTAGTAAACGAGGAACAGTGCTTGCTGGCCACAAGGAAAAGGAGGAGGTGTCTGGGGTGAGGGAGTCAGGGAGGGAGAAGCAAGCAGATAAGTTGGAGTGGGGGTCGCTCAGGGCCGCCTCTGCCTCCAATCCCCAAGGCCTCTCTCTGCCGGAAATGTTACACATTAAACAGGATTTTACAGTAAATGAAGAGGTGGCTTGTGTGTTTGTCAAGTTCTTTCTCCTGCAATGTCTGACCTCCCCCAGGATGAGCTGGCCTTGGTTTTTTACTGATTAAGAAAGGAACAGGGCAAAATAAGTAGTTACTTGAGTAGCTGAAGCTGCAAATGAGGAACCGCTGCACTTGGAGCCGCAGGGCCAGCCCACGAGCCATTCCGCCTGTCGATTTTGTTGTGGTGGTTCTTGTCTTTTTCATTGTCTGATAAAAGATGTATTGAAATTTCATTTACATACCTCCTTCCTCTGATTTTAGAAAGATTAAAAATGACAACTCTCGGGGGCCGGGCGCGGTGGCTCAAGCCTGTAATCCCAGCACTTTGGGAGGCCGAGGCAGGTGGATCACAAGGTCAAGAGATCGAGACCATTCTGATCAACATTGTGAAACCCCGTCTCTACTAAAAATACAAAAATTAGCCGGGCGTAGTGGCACGTGCCTGTAATCCCAGCTACTCAGGAGGCTGAGGCAGAATGGCCTGAACCCAGGAGGCGGAGGTTGCGGTGAGCCAAAATCGCGCCATTGCACTCCAGCCTGGGTAACAAGAGGGAAACTCCGTCTCAAAAAAAAAAAAAAAAAAAAAATGACACTCTCTCTGGAGAGACAAGAAATGATCAGGAAATTTCTCACACCCCAGAAAGTGGCACACATTCCTTGGGTACATTGGCAAGAGCCCCTCCCCTACACACCTGGAGATCTATCTCCTTACTCCCTCCGAACTCAGCATCCCCTACAAGCTGATGCCCCACAGACCACCTGTTGGGTTGCACGGTGACCCTGACCCCTTTCCTCAGGACATAGCCCCTAATTCCATCCACTTTCCCCGTTTCATTCTCTCGGGAATTAATGCCTCCCACCCCAGAGATGTCTCCACCACAGGTCAAACACTTCACAGCAGCAGTTTCCTCACCAGCATCACCCTCCCCTGTGGTTGGAAAAGCCCCAGGCTGAGACTTGGAAAAGCTGCGCTCCCATCCCTGTGCTGTCAATTAGCAGCAAGGCATTCCCTTCCGCGAGCCTCAGCTTCCTTATGAGCAAATGAGAACTGCCCCAGCACCTCTCCCAGCTCCCTTCAACACTCTGTGCTTCTGGGATTCCTAAAAGATTTCCCCAAGTAACAAGGCCTCGAAGGGGTTTCCTCAGAGTCACTGCCCCCACAAATAGCCCATCAGAGTAAAAGTTTCCCCCCAAGTTTCCCTCCTCAGCTTCCTCACCTCTGAACAGGAGAAATTATTTGCCACTCCCTCTCAGAGTATGTGGACTCCATGTAGGAAGTACTGGATATCAGAAAGGAAGAGAAAATCAGACACAATCTCATCTGAATTGTTCTCCCTTGAAACAGTTTGTCCACTTCAGAGAGAAAGCATGGAAGTTTTCCTGATTTGAGATTTCTCCTTTAGAAAAAAAAAAAAGGAAGGCTGGATGTGGTGGCTCATGGCTGTAGTCCCAGTACTTTGGAAGGCCAAGGGGAGAGGATCACTTGAGCCCAAGAGTTTGAGACCAGTCTGGGCAACATAGGGAGACCCCATCTCAAAAAAAAAAATAATAAATAAATAAATAAATAAATAAAATAGGTGTGGTGGCATGTGCCTGTAGTCCCAAGCTATTTGGGAGGTGGAGGTGGGAGGATAACTTGAGCCCAGGAGGAGGTTGAGGCTGCAGTGAGCCATGATCATGCCACTGCACTCCATCCTGGGCCAGAGAGCGAGACCCTGTCAAGAAAGATAGGAAGGAAGGGGGGGAGGGAAGGAGGGAGGGAGAGTAAGGAGACTTTGGGAGACCAAGGCAAGAGGATTGCTTGAGGCCAGGAGTTTGAGACTAGCCTGGACACCATAGCAAGACCCTATCTCTATTTGTTTTACAATTGAAAGAAAGGAGAGAGGCCGGGCATGGTGGCTCATGCCTGTAATCCAAGCACTTTGGAGGACAAGGCTGGCGGATCACCTGAGGTCGGGAGTTCAAGACCAGCCTGACCAACATGGTGAAACCCTGTCTTTAAATTTAAAAAAACAAAAGGAAGGAGAGTATTCCTTTCCACCACACTTAGCAATCCCTCAGAGAGAGCTTCCTCTCCCTTAAAAGAGGAACATTCCTTTCCTGAAAGAAATTTCCTTTCCCCTTAGAAGCTGACATTATGTTCCACCAGAGGAGAAGTTCCCACCCCTTCATGGTGGGAGAGATTCCTTTTGTTATTGAAATCCATCCTCTTCGCCCACAGCAATACAACAAATACAGAGCATCTCCTCTCCATACAATATGCCATCAAGAGAAGATTTTCTTCTTAAAAATCTATCCTGGTCCTGGGGGGAAGCAGGAGACCTCGTGCCCTCTCCACATTAAGAAATGCTAACCCTAGGCCGGGCGCGGTGGCTCAAGCCTGTAATCCCAGCACTTTGGGAGGCCGAGGCGGGTGGATCACGAGGTCAAGAGATCGAGACCAACCTGGTCAACCTGGTGAAACCCCGTCTCTACTAAAAATACAAAAAATTAGCTGGGCATGGTGGCGTGTGCCTGTAATCCCAGCTACTCAGGAGGCTGAGGCAGGAGAATTGCCTGAACCCAGGAGGCGGAGGTTGCGGTGAGCCGAGATCACGCCACTGCACTCCAGCCTGGGTAACAAGAGCGAAACTCCGTCTCAAAAAAAAAAAAAAAGACAGAAAAAAAAAGAAATGCTAACCCCATCATGATGTCAGAAATGTAGTTTCTCTTCAAAGATTCTACCAATCCTCCTTGTAAAGAGGCTCCAACTTCAAATCAAGGCTTTCCTCTCCAGGGGGCAGTGGTGGGACAACAAAGCTAGCAGGCTGGGTGTTACAGTTCAAGTGGGGGAAACAGGATTCCTGGGTTCCATGAACCAGGTAGGAGCCGGCCCAAGGAACTTTGAGGGAAGCTTCTGGACACAATGTCTCAGGGAGGTAGGAGGCAGAGTTAGACTGACCCCAAGCATGACTTTTCAAATCTGAGGCTCTGTCACAAGAGTATAAGAGAGAGACGGCCGGCCGCAGTGGCTCATGCCTATAATCCTAGCATTTTGAGAGGCCAAGTCAGGCGGATCACAAGGTCAGGAGTTCTAGACCAGCCTGGCCAACGTGGTGAAGCCCCATCTCTACTAAAAATACAAAAATTAGGTGGGCATGGTAGTGCATGCCTATAGTCCCAGCTACTCAGGAGGCTGAGGCAGGAGAATCACTTGAACCTGAGAGGCAGAGGTTGCAGTGAGCCAATACCCCACTACTGCACTCCAGCCTGGGCGAGAGTAAGATTCCATCTCAAAATAAATAAATAAATAAAACAAAAATGGCCGGGGGCTGTGGCTCACACCTGTAATCCCAACACTTTGGGAGGCCGAGGCAGGCGGATCATGAGGTCAGGAGTTCAAGACCAGCCTGAACATGGTGAAACCCCGTCTCTACTAAAAAATACAAAAATTAGCAGGGCGCGGTGGCAGGCACCTATAATCCCAGCTACTCGGGAGGCTGAGGCAGGAGAATCGCTTGAACCCAGGAGGCGGAGGTTGCAGTGAGCCAAGATTCCGCCACTGTACTCCAGCCTGGGAGACAGAGCAAGACTCCGTCTCAAAAGAAAAAAAAAGAGATAGAGAAACATCAAAGCTAATGGCAAATCAGGCATGCTCTCTGTCACGCAGTAGAAATTCAATGTGCTGAGTGACCTGGGTTGTGGAGAGGACACTGGAATTAGGAGACCTCGTTCTTCAGTGATGAGCTCTGTCCCCTCCCCTTGAACGCATGATATTTACCCTCTCCAGATCGGTTTCCTCATCTCCAATAGATAGTTAATAATAACCTCTCTCCCTCTTTCACAGAACATTTGTGAGAATCAGACAAGATGGGTTCAAAAGCTGGTTATGAACTAACTGTAAAGTAAGGTAAGATAGTGTCATAAGCACTGAGAGCATGGCCTTAAGCTAGAATTCTCAATGAGCCAGAAAGGAGTGAGGCTGGTTCAGGTAGGCTGAAGCTAGTGGAAACAATTTGGCAATAACAGTGTTGGCTCCCCCAGGGAGTGGACAGCAGTCCAAACTGCAAAGTCCAAGAGAGGTTGCAAACCTGAGCGTGATTCATTTAAGGGTCAATATTCAAGGGGTCTGATTAGGGGGCAGAAAAGGCCTACTAACAGGAAGTTCTTGCATACTGTGGCTCATGGAACTGGTCCTTTTAGGAATATCTATGATCTTTTAGAGGTGTCTGTGTGCAGAGATGCCAGGAGCTGGGGGGCAAGGGAACAGAGGCAGATGAGCTAGGAGAGTAGTCAAGGCCTCCAGCCAGCTGAGCTGGGATTTCAAAGCAAGCTGCGGTATCCATAGAGAATTGGCATGGCAACCACAAACTGGTTCAGATGCTCAATCAGATAGCCTGGGTGCACACAGTGGGGGCTAGAGGGAAATGCTTGCTCCATTTACTGATTCCACAGTACTTAAATGCCAGACCTGGCCTACGGTGCAGAAGGGGCTACACAATTGTACCAAGCTGAACTCCTGTTGATTCCTGGACTAGGCCGGGGGGAATATACAGGATCAAGGGGAGAAAGGATTGAGGACATTCCAGCAAGGGGCAAATAAAAGAGGCAAAAAATACCATACAGATATGACCGGAGTTGCTGGGTGCAGTGGCTCATGCCTGTAATCCCAGCAAGTTGGGAAGCCAAGGCAGGCAGATCACTTGAAGCCAGGAGTTCAAGATCAGCCTGGCCAATATGGTGAAACACTGTCTCTACTAAAAATACAAAAATTAGCCAAACGTGGTGGCACATGCCTGTACTCCCAGATACTCAGGAGGCTGAAGCAGGAGAATTGCTTGAACCCGGGAAGTGGAGGTTGCAGGGAGACAAGGTCGTTCCACTGCTCTCCAGCCTGGGCGGCAGAGTGAGTGAGACTCCGTCACCAAAAAAAAAAAAAAAAAAAAAAAAAAGGCCAGGCACGGTGGCTGACGTCTGTAATCCCAGCACTTTGGGAGGCCAAGGCAGGTGGAT